GGTGAATACGGCCGAAAGACTCTCATTTATTTTCTTCCAATAGCATCAGAACTTAAATTCTACACCAAGAAAAAATAATTAAACCAAATAAAATTTTAAATCGGCCAATTAAGAAGTTCATTCAACCAGTAAGAAGTTTAATTAGTCTAATTAAACTCTGATTCTTGAAACAGTATATTTGAATCCTTGAAAGTAGTTTAATTAAACTAAAATGCGATCGCTTAACTGATATATTGAATCCTTCAGTAAGATTGACAGTACTAAATTATTTAAATTTAATGAACAATCAAAATAAGTTTACCTGCTCCAAGTAAAACAATTTCATTAAATTTATTAAGTTTGTTTGATTAGTTTAGGTAAGAGTATTTGCCTAGTCTCAAAGAATTATCATTTTATTCAGATTTAAGAGGATATTTGGACAATATTAGGACTTTAAAAAAACAAACAGCATTTCACTGAATAACGTATATCAAAAAATTCGGAAAAATTGCTATTGATAGAGGAGGGGGTATAAATATGGGCTACGTAGGAAATATGGGCTACGTTGATATTTCCGATGCACCTAGAGTCATCTATCGAGTAATGTAACAATTATATGCGCTTTAGTGCACGTGACCGCCTGTTGATTACAGAATTCTTCTTTTCACATACACAATTCAGTTTCGTGTGATTTGGTCTTTTACAGTGTTTATAAATTTTGCAGTGGTGGTTATTTGTCTCTGTAACTAAGTAGGTTTTAGTATTTAACTTGATTTTTATAGATCACAATTGAAAATAAGGTTCATATTTTTAGATTTTGTCTTTAATTATATTCAGATACAAGATATAAAATATTTGTGGACTTTCAAACTTTTTGGAGGTTATGTGCAATATTGGCTGGTATTAAGCTTGTAATATGGGCTAGCCCATATTTGTAGCAATAATAGAAATCGAGAGCTTTTTTTAGAATGCCACGCAGAAAAGTTATTGTAAGTCGCAAGTTGAGCGCCAAGAAACGGAAGACATAGGATGTAGGCCATATGAAAAGGCTGTTCGAGCGGTAAGAGAAAAAAAGATGGGAGCTCTAAAGGCAGCTAAAACTTTTGGCGTTTCAAGGACTACAGTTCAGCGATTGGCCAAAATGGACCATCTTAGCGTAGAGGAGGCTGTTCAGATCAAATTAGGGCGAGGTACAGTGTTGACTCCAGAATTGGAAGAACCATTAGTTCGCTATATCCTTGTAATGGAATCCAAGTTTTATGATTTCACCCGCAAAGACGTTAAACGTATGGCATTTTACTTGGCAGAAAAAAACGGCATAAGGCATCCTTTTGGGAACACACAAACAGCAGGAAGGGGCTGGTTAGATCTATTTGTGCAAAGGCACAAACATTTGTCAGTTAGAAAACCTACTGGGACATGATTAGCTCGCGCCAGAGGGTTCAACAAAGAGAGTGTGGACAACTTCTTTACACTTTTGGAGAAAGCATATGAAGACCACAGCTTCCCAGCTAATCGCGTCTTTAATGTAGATGAGACTGGTCTAACTGTTGTGCAAAATAAAGTGGCTGAAGTGGTTGGTCGTAAGGGCAAATTGCATCTTTAACATCATTAGTCACTTTAATAACCTGCATGAATGCAGGGGGATACTTCGTTCCACCAATGCTCATATTTCCTAGAAAAAATATGAATGTGCAACTAATGAAAGGCACTTCTCCAGGATCAATATCAGCTGTTCAACCAAGTGGATGGGTTCAGGCTACGTTATTCGCCCAGTGGTTCAAACATTTCATTAATACGGTAAAACCGACTGCATCTTCGCCTGTTCTTCTAATTTTAGATGGACACTATAGTCATACCCGTAATCTAGAGGTTGTTATTATGGCGAGAGAAAATCACGTTTGCATAATCTCGTTACCCCCTCATTCAACACATAAATTGCAACCTCTTGTCAAAACTTTCATGGGTACATTAAAATCTTACTACAGTGAGGAGATTAGACAATGGATTCGTCATAATCATCGTCCCTTAACCCAATATGATATTGGCGAACTTTTGGGAAAGGCTTATCTCAAAAGTCAGACTGGAGAAATCGCCGTAAACGGGTTCCGCGTTACTGGAATTTTTCCGCTTAACAAGAATATTTTTTCAGAAGTGGACTTTCTTGCAGCCGAAATAGAAAAAGGAAAAGAACACTGTACCGCTGAAAATGACTTCGCTGAGAGTACACCAGGCACATCTCAATCAGATCTAGAGCCTCCTAGTCTATACAACGTTCCACCTGGGCCATGTGGTAAATTTCAATCAGATATAGAGCTACTCAATCGCGACTGCGCTCAACCTGGACCATCTGGAATCCAAAAAAAAATTGTGACCCCCTTTGATATTTCACCAGTTCCGACCTTAAAAAAGAAAACAACTAATAGGGTTAGAAAAGCATCACAAGCAGCGGTAATTACGTCGTCCCCTTACAAAGACGAATTATTGTTGAGCATTGCCAATAAAACTAAACAAGAGAGTAAATCTGAAAAGCAGCGATCTTTAGGAGAATCTGAAAGTGATGACGACGAAACAGAGCTGGTGTTAGCAGATGATGACTTAGATATGGATGATATGCCTGGACAAAAGGAACCAGATGATTTAGATGCGGAATGCATCTTTTGTGAAAGCAGATTTTCCGAAGACCGCAAAGGAGAACTGTGGGTTCAATGTTTAATGTGCAATATGTGGTGTCATGTCGATTGCGCAGCTGCTGATAAGGATAATTATGTTTGTGACTTTTGTCGCACTGGATAATATCTGATGTGTTCTTGTCAAGTGCTTCTGTTTTTTTTTGCTGCTCTTAAATAAAGCTCTAAGTTACTTTTTGTAGGTATTTTTTCTAGTAGCCCATATTTGTATCACTATTTCAATATCTGGTATGATGTTAATTTTATTTAAACATATAAAAATTCCAAACAGGTTTGTCCGACAAAAAAATGCGGAGCCATATAGACCAAATATGTGTCAAATATGCCAGTTTAATAAAATGGTAGCACATATTTATACCCTCTCCTCTAATTGATTTCTTCGAATCAAAATAAAAATTTCCGAACTTTGTATCCCTAACAAAGTTCGATATTTTTATGTTTATTAATTATGAACTTACTATATTTGTATATGGGATCAAACTTTGCCAACGATTTGTCTGATTCTCCAGAAAGAGGTTATAAATATATTACCATTCATTAGAAGCATTCCTTTGTTTTAAATTCAGAAAGTAGGGAGAGGGATACCTGAAATTGAACAAGGCCACTCGATTATGTGCACCAAAATTTTACTTTTATTTCTAATAATAAAACAGTATTGAACTCATCCGCTTTCAAAGCATGTATAAACATATTCGACATCACTAAACAAACTACGATATTTTCGAATACTACAAACTCTGCACCAACAGAAGACTCCATATCCTATACATACAATATAGAAGAGAAGCACATCAAGCCTATTGTAAGCGCATGTTTGGTTTAAATGCATCTTTAACCTAACACGGCTTCATAAATAAAATTTCAAAGTTCTTCCCATCCCGCTACGTCAGCAGTGACTCCCCTATACAGAGTGTTTCATTGGGATCAAGAAACGTAACTATGGGTGGATGTCACTAAGCGCCTTGTGCTCCACTTAATCACCATAATTGAGCCACATAACAACTATCACACCAGCAACGGCCACATTCTGATATGAAGCTACTCGCAGAAATCAAAAATGAAGCTGAGGAGTTTCAAGTCCGTCACCGGCACTGCGCCTGTCGCATACTCCCGATTAACGAATAAATGGCCAAATCCCGCCGAGTACGCGATTCAAATAAACAGTTTAAGTGTTTTTATTAAAACGTTTAATGGTTTTAAATGTACCATTTCTACATAAACTAAATTATCTACGCCATTTAAGCAGTTTAATAAAACAAGTACCTGGTTTGCGATTACCAACTAAACAGAAAATTCAGTTTAATTAATAATACTTTAGTTAGAACAATTAAAATATTTATTTCAGGTGATGAAATTTTTCCAGTAAAACCCTTTAATTGATCGCGTTTTCCAGTGCATCAGTCAAACAGTACCTTGTAGCACTGCAATGTAGCTAATGCTAATTTTCAAGCTACCTACTTTGCAATGTAGCAAAAAACCTGATGCAGACAACTAGACTATAACCTAGTCAGCTGCCTAGCGTCTAGCTAAAATTATATGTGTACATAATCACGTATACCGCGGAAAGTTACGGAGTTCCGCGAACTTAGATTGTTCAACGCTGGCTAGACGCGATGAAAAATAATGTGGGAGATATAACGGTGGTCGGAAGATTATTTTGTTTCCGGAAATTTTGAAATAAGTTGCCTGAGAAACAATTTGAATTAAAGTTTCATGGGAGTGCATTATCTGGAAGACCTTGTCGCTTCGCTGTTCTCTGAGAGTCACTATTTTGGCGTATAAACTTTTCAAGGAGGTAAACAGGAAGTGGTTATATTGGTCGCAGTATCCAGAATGTAAGAAGCTTAACAAGAAGATATGACGTGGATTGTTTATCTTTACAACATAAGCGATACACGATGTTGCTGGTTACATTTTCAATTAACCATTCGTATTCGTCGTTAATTATCGGAGTGGTCCGTATAACCTTTGCCCTTGGTTGTTGGTGAGGCAGTCCTGGTCGCCCGAGAGAATGTACAAAGAAAGAAGAGAATGAAGGGGATATCAAAGGGAAGGAAGTGCATTGATTGGAGGAATGGCTCAGTATTTATAACCATCCAACTAGCAAAGTAATGCTATAAGCTTTTGGTAGAAGAATCGTTCAGCCATAAAAGCTATCTATTGCTGTTGCCTGAACACCAAAATGCTGGCTTAACCCTTAACCACAGACATCCGGTCAAAATGACCAGCTGCAAATTGCAACTGCTGAAATTCATCGCATCCCCACCACTATCGCTTATGAGCTTCTGCATACCTTCCTAACACTTAGTTTGATGCTATTAGCCGGTGGATGGAGACTGTATTACTTGAAGCAAGCGAAATATCGTAGATCAAAGTTCGCAACCGGTAAAAAATACCGGAGGTCTGTATAAACGTAATAATTTGGATATGTTGAATTATTATTTTTCTGATGTTTTTAGCCTTATAAATTGAGTATGGACTCTAATCCTGGGCCCCCAAAGAGAGTAAAATATGGAGATGCTGATTTTGAAGCTACTTTACTGAAATGGGCAGAGGAAGTCGATTCTGGTGGAAGCGATATCGAATCAGATGGCGACTGTATACTATCGGATCATGTCACTGAGTCGGACGTTGAATTCGACGAAGAGGACGACGAAAATCTAGGTGAAATCAGTCATACCGAGATAATCCAGAAATAAACCGCTATCATTTTGGAAAACAGTTAGCAATGCTTTTGGTAACTCCACATATGCAACGCCGATATCAAAATGTGCGTATTGGTCGTGAAATTAAAATATCTATAAGACGCATACTACAATTGGCACAAGAAGAACATCCTATGGAAGGTGATAAACTGAATACAAGAACAACTTGTAGACGTTGTCCCTCGAAGAAGGAGAGAAAAACATAGGTAGATGGTAGATGGTCTCTGACTGTCGAACGTGGAGGTACCACCCGGCGGTTCTCGTAGGCGGAGCCAGAGTGTGTGCATGTTGCATGCACACGTGTTCCCTCGCCAGAGTCCGTGTGGCGTCCCCCCTTTCCCATGTATCCCCCATAGCCCCACGGTACCCAATGGGTGCTTAGGCCTTAGGCCTTCGTGGTAGTTGGAGTATAAAAAAAAAAAATTACATGTTTGTATAATGTGTAAATCTCCAATATGTATGGAATGTACTAGGAGAATTTGCAAAGAATGTTCCATCTAAATATACTAATAGTTTACCCTTTGCAGATATTTTTATATAGAATGTTTTTAACTTTACTTTGATGTTATCTTATTCAGAATAGTTATTTAAATTATTTATGTGCGAAAAGGTGTTGTATACGTTTTTATTTTATTTTTATTTATGACTCTGTTACACTTGAACAAAAATATAGCAATAAAATATTTTTTTCCATACTCTACCCTTATTTCACTCAAATATAGTTAAAACTACATCAAATGCTAATTAGAAAGATCTAAGAGTTAATCCGCATGCTGCAAAAAAAAAATAAGATTTTGTTGTTCATGTATACTCAAAAAATGACAACCGGTCAAAATGACCGGTAGTCCGTGGTTAAGTCGTACAAACGTGACCTCTTTAGCTAAGGGTTAATGTTGTGTGGAATGCAAATTTGCTTTCTGCAACATATTTGCTCTAAAATGAGTTGTTTAAAATATTCTTATAGCACAGTTATACAACACCTTATAGGACAAATTTTTAACTGTTGCATAAACGTTTATACAACTATTTTATACGGCATATTTGCACGTTAGTCAAAATGGTTGTGTTGTGGCATCCGTGGTAAAGTTTATACAACAAACCCAAGCTTTGTTGTTTTGCTGTGAAAATCCACTACTTTAGCCAACAAATTGCTCCCAACGGAAGCACTTATACAACTGTTGTTTAGTGACTATTAAAGGCTGTACATCTGCAACAATATTACAACTTTTGTAGTACAAAATTGCAGTGCACGGCATATATTTGTTGCTAAATATGTTGGTATACAACTTCACCATAACCTAACTTGCTGTCATATTTTTGTTAAAATGCCATAGCCAATGATTAAGGACAAACAACGCATGCATATTGGTTCCTAAAGTTTTATCAACTGTTCAAACAGAAGATATAGATCTGGTACAAATTCTTGGTTAATCATTCGACTCTGTCGGCATTTCATTTCAGACATGTGTCAATTTGTTGTATAACACCTCCAGACAACACCAACATATTCTAATAAACCAAAGACAACATGAACCAGGCCATGATTATACATAACCACCCGCCATATTGGGCAAACATTTATTTCTCTATTTAGTTTTAAATAATTATGTTCGAAATTATAGATATAAAGTGATAAAAATTAGTGTAATTGTGACTAAATATAGGATTAGTGGAAGATTTAACGCAGATTTCCATTTTAAAAATTTAGACATACTTTTGATCATTATTAAAATATGAATCAAATACGAAGCAGCACAAGTAATTCAATAGCCCTATATCACAGTGTAGAAGTTTATCATATACCTGTGTATGAAATTCACAATGGCCGATATGTAAGTAAACAAGATGACTGTAATGTGGTAATTATATATTCTTCACTTCGTCTATACAATACATAAGAAATAGTTTGGTTGCAATAAAGTAGAATCACGTAACAGAATAGTTGGATTGTTGACAAAAACTGAAACTTGCACTGACGAAAATGTCCTATAGGGGCTGCAAGAGGCTTACACTTTTGTTGTAAAACTGTTACCTGCAGCCCTTATACAACCACTTAAATGACTGAAGTGTCCTATTAGGTGTGCCCATTCCGCTTGTATAGCTGTTCTAAGAGGGTTTTGCCAATGCTCTTACAGTATACAATGCTGTGTAAGGAATACTGTATAATCATTCTTGCAACTCTAATAGGGGTGATAGTTGTTAGTTGGGCAGATTACAGGAATTCTGAAACGATTTTTAAGATTCCAATAAATTCACGCCCTGAGACCGATTCAGGAGATGCATGCCCTGATCTGACGAATAAATTCATATTTGGCAGCGGTCGTTGTCTCATGTCGCTGTTATGGTGCGGAACGGTACTCTCAGTAACTTGCTCTGGCTAAGACATAGGGAGATTTTGTAAAAGGAAGTCCTACAATTTTGGCAATAGTAATTTTTTGGTGGTATCGTTTGATTATTGCATCTTTATTGTAAGTTCAAATTGGAATTATCATCATCAAGGTCGAAGCAGTTGTCAAAATTTTGATAATCGCTGTTCGATCGAAGACCTCGACCATTGATTTTATGTAGCAAAGTAAAATAAACAATTTTGAATAGAATCAAATTCTTCTTATCATCGTGCTTCTGTAAAAATGTGTCATATGATCAACAGATTATGATAAATTAAGGGGTAAATATACATGTAATGATCTCTCCGCTTATAATGTGTAAACTAAGAATCTAAGGATGGCGAGCACCAACCAAGAGAAAATCCAACACCAAATATCTTACTGAAAATATATAAAATTGGCGACTTTAGGAGCTCTGTGTACTAATAATATTTGTAATAACTATGCTACATTCGTTAAAGGACCCAATTTTACCCCGCATTTTAGGAACAAACTAAGTCAGTTTGCAATCTTCTTGTTTGATGCTCACCACCCTTGGAGTGTAAAACACCACTATTCTTTTTTAGGGAATAAGATTTTCTACCAAAAGGGACTTTGCGTTTTTCTGAGACATTGATGGTGCTTGATGTAAGCAAATGGAAAGTTAGAAATTCGTGTCAAAACTGTCGTGCGGCATTACGCGGCACTCTTTGTACGTTGTCCACGTTACCCGCATAAAACATTATTTCACGTGTTGATAACTTCTTTATCATTTCTATGAAAAAAAAGCGTTTTCATTGTGAAGAGGCCACTCACTCCCATCAATCTGAAAAAGGAGTTGTGGAGTTGTAGTAGATAACGCTGGTTTAGGGCACCACTATCTTTCCATTAAAATCGTTTGCAGAGGAATAGACGGACTTATGGAAGTGAGTGAATTTTATTTTCATGATGAAGGCGTCATATAATAATCCGAAAATATTACATTTTCCATAGTTACGCGTAGCAGTTAAAGGTGGATTCACTTTAAAGTATTTGAATATAGATTATGACCTATTTATCTCCATGAGTACGCTGACAGTGGACAACGTATATAGAGTGCGGAATATGCCATTTTTAGCGAAAATATCATCGTATGTACCTTTATCCTCAAATTTTTCAGAACATTTTGACTATGACAAATTTTTATAGAATTGAAATAATAACGAATTTAATTAGGGGAAACCCGTTCAAAGTTGATTCCACAGGCAAAGCGGATAGTCTCCGCTACTTCCAAATTGTTCGTTGGCCAGCAGCCGCGTTGTCAACTATGTCTATATAACGAGCTGACCGGTTTTTTAGTGACTTGGCATAATCTCAAAAATGTACCCTAAGGGCAAAGCAGATCGGACAAAGTGGATACTATATTATATATAAATATATATAAAATTGGATGATGCATTTTCTGTGGTGAAATATACATTGAAGAAGATGATCAGTCAACGGAAAACTGGATACAATGTAGTATTTGTACTCAATGGGGTCATGAAGGGTGTTCAGCCTTCGAGGCCAGTGATGATTTTGCTTGCGATAACTGCAATAATTAGATTCTTAGCAGAAAAATGTTATTTTAAATATTGTTTTCCTAATTTTCAAGGATCATTTTGTCTGTAAGTTTAACTCCATGCCAAATAATGTTATTCGCATTGCCCTGGTACCATATCCACTTTACCCGGTGTCCCGGGCACGGTGGATAGTAAGTCACTGTTGTGAATTTGACTTATAACTTATAATTTAATTAATATCAAGAGAAAATCATATACAATTTCGTGAGTTCTTTAAATAAAGATTACTTATAAATATTTGTTTCAATTTCCCCAGTTATACCTAATCTACAATAACCAAAAACAGCTTAAGGTATTCTCTTTGCCCGGGTTTCCCCTACTGACAAAATTGTTCTCATTACTTTTTTCCGTGCGATCGATTGTTTCCTAGATTTCCGATCAAACTCGTTTATCAAAGTGACGTACTGGAGCCCTACCTTGACGCCAAGTTGAACTTATCGGTAACAATGATATAACGATACCACAAAAACTTTTAATGTCGCCTAAATTGTAGGAAAAAATTCCATATTCCCTAGCCTAGTTGTATTGAGTCGACTTTACGTTCACACTGGAGTGGATCAGTTCGTTAGACTAGAAGTCAGCTGATATTGATTTTACGTTATGAGTATCTAAAGTACCACCAAAAACTGGTCCACTGGAATACCTGCTACTATAATGCGTCACATGGGACTATTCCGGTCCTTTGATATGCGATCGCAACTGTTGACCAAATAATTTCATGGCGACGAATTTTACTGGAACACTTATGCTGCATATCATAGTGGTCCATTCTTAAAGTCAATGGCGTATTCAGTCCATGCGACAAAAAATGTTACCTATCATGCACACACCAAAAAAATACTGCACCAATCAAGTGATTTTGGGTAACAGATATTCTGGGTACGAATTATGTTTGACTTACTTACGTCGGTGTACATGTTCACTGGTGTTTTTGTTGCTACCTAATCTCCAATATTCAACATTTTTGTTGTGTAGGATAAACAGAAAGATATCAAATCATCAGAATCATTCGTTTTCGTATTCTTATATTGCATCCAATCATTTTGGTGCATGTTTATTTTCAGAATTGCATTCATCGAACTTTCAAGTTTACTTGCAGATGTTATGGAAATACAAAGACAGATCTTAATAAAGTGGGCTATATTGAGTTAGCCTACTTG